CAATGTATGGCTGTGAAAGCTGGACCATAAGGAAGGCTGAGTGTCAAAGGATTGAGGCCTTTGAATTGTGGTGCTGGAGGAGACTCTGTGAGTCCCTTGGACCGCAAGACAATCAAACTGGTCAGTCCTAGAGGAGATCAACCCTGACTGCTCTTTAGAAGGCCAGATACTGAAGATGAAACTCAAATACTTTGGCCACCTAATGAGAAGGAAGGACTCCCTGGAGAAGAGCCTAATGCTGGGAACAATAGATGGCAAAAGAAGAACAGGACAGCAGAGGATGAGGTGGCTAGATGGAGTCACTGAAGCAGTTGGTGTGAGCTTAAATGGACTCCAGGGGATGGTGGAGGACAGGAAGGCCTGGAGAAATGTTGTCCATGAGGTCGCGATGGGCCGGACACGAATTTGCGACTAAAAACAACAGCAACAACTACAACAATATATATATATATATATATATCACTCTTAAAAAGTTAAGATACCTTTCACTTCAACTTTAGCCTTGGATAGACTATATCAAGGGATATCATCTACCAAAAGCTGTGGCATAACAAATACTATTAGCATATCAAATCATGGCTTGTAAATGTCTTGTTCTATTTCCTAAAACTGAAGAGAAAATTTTATTCTCTTAGTGAAATCGCAGAAGGAAAGGGTTTTAGACTAAAGGGCAGACATGTTTACCTCAACATGCTTCATACTGATGAGACCTGGAAACTGGAATATCTGTCAGGTTGCTTTTGTCAATTCTGTCACTACCACCACTAGCATAAACTAGAGAATATGTTGAGCAGAAGGAAAATTCATTCATTCAGAGGAATAAGACTGTGAATACTGGTTATGTCAGGCCTGAGGATATATACTGTGTTGGTCAAAGTCTCCAGGAAGCCAAGGGTTTGGAAACCAACTTAAGAAAAAAATGATTACTGATCTTAAAGTAACACAAACTGATTTAAAATTTAAGTATGTTTTCTTGGTAACTAATGCAGGCAAATGATTGCCTTCAAAAACCCAAGGGAAGATCCAGCCAATGACTTCAATACTTAATGGATGGGAAACCTAAGACCATCAGGCCAAATTCAACCCACAGGCTTCTCAAGTGAGATCCCACCTCCCCAGAGAGCAGAGAAAAAGTGAGAGTATTCCTTGAGAATGTGGCTCAGATTACTTTGTTCTTGTTTTACCTTTTCCAATTGAGAAAGGCAAGGGCAGTGCCAACTGAGTTACTGGCATGAGGAGCACTCCCTGAGCTATTTGTTCTGCTAGGAGCCAGACTAGGCATTCTCTATTCCTTGCTTATTAATGTGGGCTAGCTGAAGAACTGAGGGCTTTGGATTTTTATCACCATTGTGGCAATATAAAGAGGTTTAAAGCTCCCTGTCCAACATACCATGATGGAGATAAGAGCGCATGACCTAGTATTGGGTGGGCAGAAAGTTGATCACCATATGTTTTAAACTTCAGCTCCTAGCATCTTGACCATTGGCAATACAGGTAATGAGGCCTGAATGCAATCTCTTCTAACAATTGCCCAACCTTAATTTGCTTTTTAAATATTTCTAGTCATCTGCCTTTTTCATGCTGCCCTAAGGTACAACTATATATCTCAAAAACATTTGCAACTCCACTGCCAAATTCACATAAAAAGCCTCTCCTCTGTTGTGCTGTGTACAGCATGTGTGCAGAAAGTATATTTTTAATTGTATACCTTTACTCTCTTTCCACCATTTTTTCCTTTTAATTGTAGGCTGCTGGGGGCACAGAGTGATTGCAACTCTTTGAAAGTACCCAACACATAAAATGACAAACTGGCATATGACTGATCATTTTGTCTTTGCACAACAGCAGTATTTTCTTATTTTTATACAGCCCAATAGCTGAGGCTCTCTGGAGCCATCTGCACAAAATATACTTAGCTTAAGTTAATATTGGAACATACAATAACTGACAGGCTTTTTAAAAGGGGTGTGAGATAAATAGTTTGAAGACAACACCTCAGAATACCTACAGAGGAATCAGAGGAGGGGTGAGTGGGTGGGTGGGTGGGTGTGTGTGTTCTGAACAAGGGTAACACATTTTATTACACAGAAAAAAGAAAATATATATAGATAACCCTTTGCCCACTGGACTGGGACCCAGAAGAACGTTGTTTCTAAATCTCACTAAGAGTGTTAACTAGGATGGCTCTATTAAATTAAATGTCACTCTACTAACCTTAAAATTTATCTTCAGTATTCTTGCATCTTCCAAATTTTAAAGTCTAACAGTTTCACTTAATATAATCCAACACAAACATGTAGCAATATATATGCTATCCATTATATAAACAGTCCATTAATAACAACACACATAAAGATAAAATGATTCCTTGAATTCACAGTGGGCTTTGAGAAAAAATATACAAGTTAGGCAAAAGTGAACTAGCCATTTTTAAAACATGCATTTCTGGTTTAGTTACTAGTTTCTAGTAGGTTTGGTTACTAGTCCTACTAAAAATATGTGAAGTGTGTGACGTTTTCACGATGGCCTAGAAATTATACAGCACTAGTCAGTTTCCACTACTCAAGAGGTAAGAATTCCTCAAAACAAGAAACAGCACACTCTGACAGAACAGAACCATGAAGGCAAAAGAGAAAAGGAAAACCAGCAAGCTATAATAGCACTTTCAATTCATTTTTTCAGAGTAGCACAGGTTTCAAGGTGATAGCATCGCTATGCAATTCCACAACTATTTACCTGGGAGCAAGTCCCACTGAGCATAATGAGGCTTACTTTTGGAAATGTATATATATAATTGTTTTACTATGTCATTCCACAGTCTAGTCAGAAAGTGCACACAGTGTGGGCACTGGAAAGTGGAATCTAGATTATATGTAAGATTTCTTTATACCGTGTAGTTCATCTTTACTTATTATTGATCAAGGTAAAGGTGATGAACAAGATTGCTACAGAAGTTTCCAGGCTGAAAAAAAATTCCTTCGGTATAACCCCACAAAAGTACAATGAGCCACCCAGTGTAACCTCAAATGCAAAAATGAAACAAAACATACAGCGTAAGTTACACTTTTCATTATTCTAGAATAGGAAATGAAAACATGCAAAAATAGCAACGGACATCAATTCTACAATTCCTTAGCAAAGAAATAGTACACAGAAACAGTAACTGTAAACCAAAAAAGTAATTTGATACTATATATTAATCCTATGTAAAAAAAGTATAGTAAAAAGTCACTGAGCTGTGACTATGTCAACTTACATTTATAAGTAAAGTAGCTTAGGCAGTCCTATTCAAGGGGTATTCAGCAACTGTTTTCATAACATTAAAAAACTAGTGTATAGTGCTGCTTAACAAGACATTAATGAATGGCTTTGCATGAATGCAGCTGCAGCATGCTGCTGACAGAGCAGTATCTTGTTCTCCTTCTGCATTTGTCTTAAAAGTACTGAAGATGAAGGAGCAATCCTACGGCTCTAGACCGCATCTGAGAGGCCACAGGACAGTTCAGATGCCCACAGTCAGAAACAGAGCTCTGACCTTGCAGGAGATACCTGGAGCTCCAAGCCCACTTCCCTGCCCCCTTAGAGGTGTGGAAAGGACCATACTGGCCATCTCTCAGAGGCTGGGAACATTTAGGAGGGCAGGGAGGGGAAGAGACAGAAGAAGCCGGGATATGAGCTATCCTGTGGCCTTTCCCTCCTCCCCATCCCCTTTGAAAATCTAGTGAAAATGCTAGAGATGGGGGAGGGCAGGGAGCTCAAGATCACTTCCACTGCTTTACCTGCCTGCACAGGTTCATAAGGCTCTGAGCTTGGGGGCTTACAATGCTCATACTAGGATTTCACCCCAAAACATATTTTCAACAGCCAGGCCTTGTACTACAGGAAAACGTAATTCCTTACATATTAAGGGATAATCATATTATGCATGAAAAAGCATCAGCAGTATTTACTGAATCTCAATATATAATTAACACAGGTATACTCAGAATTTTTATTTGGGCAGAGAAGCTTTTGTTCACAAAACATTTTGACAGCTGTTTGGTGATAGTATTGAAATGCTAAGTTAGTGTTGAAAACTAACATAGATTCACCTATCTCACTGTAATTCAAATAAGGTACTGAGGATTCAGTAATAATATGCACATTTTAAAAGCAACAGGACTGCATTATAGTTCAAACTTTCAGAATTAAAATTTAAAAGCCTAAACTTACATTGAAGGATTTGATATAAGAGGTACATGATGATGTTTTACTTATATGAAGAAATTAACTATATAGGTCTTATCTAAAGAAAACTGCTTTACTACAACACGCTGGAGTTCTTCCTTACACTGTGTATCAACTTCACTTAAACTAGTTACATAATCCATTCTTTCCCTTATGACCTATTTCTTATAAAAAAGCAAACTAGAATTGTAAAATGACTTCAATATTTCATACATACATTTTGTAATATTCCAACTAATAAGAATCACTTTAGAAAAGAATACCATGCTGAAAACTTTTCCTTTGAAATTTGTGTACTCGGTATTTAAATTTGCAATTATTTGCTACGCTAAAGGGTCTTGCTGGTACTTTAACAGATAAAGATATCAGATTTACTGTTGCAGCCTACACAACAATTTAGCGTTCAAGCAGAGAAAAACCAATATCACCAATGCCATATGAAAGAGAAGAAATTGAGGGATCTGATACTTCTACGTGTAAATTAGTTGCCACTGCAGAGCAGAGCTTTTTGCAAGGTGTTAACTAACAACAGATACCAATAAAATCATTTTCAGGACGACCAAAAACAACAAACTCTTCTGAAATATCTCGTGTGACAACCTAGTCTTCCCAATAACTTCCTAGGCTGGTGCTTCGGTATCGGACCTACTCCCCGCTTATTTTAACCCACCATCATTTTCCACAGCACCGTAACACCGCCTGCCGTACAGAGCCCAGGGGCTCCTGTCATATTTTGCCCTCTAATACAAAGAAGTCGACGGCAGGGTACTCACCATCGTCCAATGCTGCCTGCACAACATTAGCGACAGCCCCAAAACCTTTCACAAAACCTCTTGCAAAAACGAAGGGGCTGGCATCGAGGCCAAAGCCAATTATCCGAAGGAAGAAGTTATTAACATGTTAAAATCCAAGCTCAGCGTCGTATGGAGAGAAGCAAATTGCTCAGCACTCCCTTAGATCAGCCATATTACTCTCCCAAATCAAGCAACACTTCACTTCCCAGGCTACTTCCCTAGCAGCCTCAGGAAAGACAAGTAAGTGGAGCGCGCTCGTCTAAACCAGTCCTGCCCGAACTCCCATTGCGGGCTTGGGCTGGGAAGGTGATCTGCGAGCCCCCGAAGCGCCTCGGAACTTCAGCTCGCAGGGCTTCCCTCCGCCCCCAAACACCAAGCGAGAGCCTCTGGAGGAGGAGAAGGGAAGAGGAGGAGAAGGGAAGAGGAGGGAAGGAATGAAGGAAAGAATAAACCCTTAGCTGGAGAAAGTAGATCCGACTACTCGGAGCACCGCGAATGTGCGGACTGGATTCTTCCTCTCAAGGATCGGGAGCGATGAGCCACAGCTACACTCGCTCTGGAAGGAGCCTCTGCTTTAACTCTTTCCCGACCCGCTACAGCAAACTGAGCATCTCTTTAACCGATGGCTTCCAACTGAAGCCTCTCTGCCACCGCCACGGAAAAATCTCAAGCAGAATTAAAAGGAGAACTTCCTCTCCTAATGCAACCCGAGTTCGTTGCGGAAAGAGCTCCGTGTCCGAAAGCCTGCGGACAGTTTCCGAGTTAGAAACGATACCTGTCACCTCAGTCCCAAGAAGAGAATCGTTTGCAAATGCTACCATAAAGTTGGCAGGGGGAGCAGGGAGAGATAGCCTTTACTGTACCTTGGTAAACAACCTTGTTTCCCCACCTCCAGGACGCAACAAAATGCCCACACTTTGAGAAGTGCCTCTCTCATCGCCTCCCAAATTGTTTACAATCTTAAACTACAGAACAGTGTTTTAGAAAAGCGTTTTTATTCAAACATATTCTCCAAACATTGGCACGGCTTCTCCTTTGTCCCCTTTCCCGTCCCTCAACCGGCTTCTGCCAAAAAAAAGGGGAAAAAAACCTTTTTCAACTGAACAAAGAAAACGTTATGTAACTTATTTCACTTATTCTGCCTGCCCTCTAAAAATACCACAAACTCACCAGTTATCCTTTAGAACTAACCAACCTACTGGCTTAGTACATAAGGTCGAGGCTGGGTTCTCTTCTGTCCACCTCAAACGCAGTCAATTTCAACGTGCTTTTTAAATGCTTTCCCAATATGTTATTTCAATGCCCTATTTACCGGCCCTCACTTAAACAAACTGGGTAATATCCTGTAGATGATAAACCCAACATTTATTATCTTCATGCTAAGGTTAAACAAATGTTTAAGCTAAAAATTCCAAGATCTCTCCCCCCCACCCACTCTGCACCCATATACAAGTATAGTTTTGTGTCAATAAAACTATTTTCAATTTCCCTCAATGATGCAGATATGCTAATTGGTTCAGAAGCAAAGGTGGCAATCTTACATGGATTTGAGAGTAAATGTCATTAATATCAGACATTTACTTTAAGGCAAACCCAGATAGGATCTATCCTATCCACACACTGCACAGGGTCAACTCGAGGTGCTTCCAGGCCAGTGTGCAAACACAGCTTCAAATACAGTTTTTAATTCCTCAAACAAAATCTTACAGGTAATTCAGGTGTTATTTTCCTTTTGGAACCAGTTTGTGGTTTCCCATCATTTCTTCCCCCTATTAAGGAGGGAAATAAGAAATAGCTGCCCAAGTAATTTTTAGTTGCTTGCACGAGATGCTGTATCAGCCTCTAAGTAGCCTTACACTGAGAATAGTATGAAGCAAGCCCAGACGCAGTCAGCAACTGTTTTACACCCCTCTGTTGAACCCTGCACCATGCAACAATATTTTATCTGGAAATAATGTATATGGAGATGATTGTTCAGGACTATTTTCCTACATCAGCATAATCTGCACAGGCTCATGATGTAAGCATCAAAATCTGGCATTGTCCTGTTACATTGGTTCCACGACCGTTGTACTAAGTCCTGACATTTATCACCACAACAATAATCCAGAGAAAGAAGCAACACCTGAATAAACCAAACTTTGCTTACAATACAGAAAAAGATATTCTGACTTTGTCATTAATGGGACATTCCATGATAATTAGCAGTAGTGAATATAGTAGAATAAAAGTTCTAGGAGAAATCCCACCCTGTTACAATAGGTTTGTCCCAAGCACAGTCTGGCTGGGAGCACAGTCTGCTGGGCTAGCTCGTATCTATGTACTGTCTCCGGGGTAAGTTTCAGTCCCCAGCATCGTGGAATAGAGTTGGCCTTCGTTGAAAGAAATTTAAAATTAAGTTACTTAATGAAAAATGTAAATTTATTCCTTCCTCCCTCACTCCCCACAATAAATTGGCAACTAAAGGTATATTCCACCTTGTGGTGAATTAGTTTGTATTATTTAAATATTTATGTGGTAAAAGCATTTCCAGAAAGTTATAAAGGCAAGAATTTTTCAGACACAAAAAGGTATAAAGTGTTGGGATAAAGAATGAAACACCTAAGTTTAACAAGTTCCCTGACCATTGTTTGTGTGCAAGCTTGGACAATTCCCCCCACACGAGGTCTTTCTAACATATGTCATGAGTCATACTTCAAATGACATCATGACACACCTTAGAGAACTTGCTAGTCCACTGACATTTAGACATTTATGTAGCCACAGCTATGAAAGACAAGAGGCTGCATTAGAGTTAACTACAAGTCTGAATATTCAGTAATTTCTTGAAGCATTACTAGGCAAACTGGTGAAGTTTAAATGGACTATTTACATGTCCAGTAATTTTTTCAAAATAGAAGTTAAAAACAGCTTTTTCTGTATTACTGAAGATTTATATAGTGGAATGTAAATGTTTATGTAAATGTAAATGTCGCCTGGAGGAATGCTGTCCATGGGGTCAGGATGGGTCGGACATGACTTCGCAACTAACAACAACAACATGTTTATACTTAAAAATTAAACAAAATGCCTTGTGCGATAATCATTTTCTAAGTATAACACTACTATATCGCTTTTTTCAGCAAGAGCAATACCATACTGCAAGTTGTGCCACATTGTGACACCGAACCTGTTCTCTCAACTGATGCTAAAACTGAGTTTTCCTATTTTCTGTGATACAGTTTGGAATCACTTAAATAACTGTGCCACTACATGTTACCAGAGGCAAGAGACTATGATAAAGAACAGCATCTACATGTTAGGATCTCTCTCTGCAGTAAGGTGAAGTAAGATCTCTAGAATGCTCATCAGTAAAACTATGAGAGTGGCAAACAAAGAGTAAAGCATAAATCAGTTGAAGCAAAAATGCAAAACAGAACAGCAACAATAAAAAAATCCAGAATGTGTAACACTTTTACTAGAATGTTATTAAAATAAACTAATATTTAAAATAATTTTAATATAAAATATAATTTTGATTTGAATATGCCCATCTATTCAATAAGAGCATGAAGTGTCTTGGATAAAATGTAGTTTTTTTTTTCATTAAGCTAAATTCACAGGTAACATCCTCTTTATTTCTTACACTTATTTTGGTAATGCTTTGATACAGCACTGCAACTTTAGGAAATCATTGTATGAAAAACACAAAGTCTTCAGAAAAAAATTAAAAGAATTATTTCACTGCATGTTTATTATGCAAGTTTAAAAAACAAAATGAGAAAAATATTTTTAAATCATTTTTAAACAAATAATTTTTCATTGTCTCTCATGCATGCCTTGTCAAATAAAAACATCTTTGTCAAGCATCAGAATTGCTTCACAGTTAGACCATGAACAGGCTGCAAAGGGCTTTCCATAAGCAGGATGCCAGAAGAATCCTCCCTCCAGTCATTACCCACCAATTTCAGATGGTGGTGGTGATGGCACTTGGGAATCCAGAGAAAAGCTTCAGATGGTACTCACAGTGTCCAGGCAGGCACACTTAGGTCCTTTGGGTATATATTTCTCAAACTATTTAGGTTTTTATAAATAAGAACCTGTAGCAGTTTAAAAACAGGCAAGATGCACTCCTTATTTCTGGTCCAACTTGTCTTTTGTACTGAAGTTTTCGATAATTTTCTAAGGCAGACCAAATTGTTACCTGTGTGTGGATAAGTGTCCAGGGTATCTCATTCCAGAAAAGGAGCCACACTTCGCTCACCAACCTAAATTAAACATCCTATATATCAGAAAAACAACCTGAACATCCCTTGGTAAAACTGGATCTCACATTCCTCAGAAACTACAAAAACGACCCTTCAAACTGAGCATGATCCTATCCACACCCATATCTCACTAGTCAGATGAACCAAAGAACCTCCATTTTATCTGGACTTAGCTTCAGTTAAACATACTTATTATCCACATCCTCTGGCCTCAGATGATGAAACCAGTCCAAAAGATATAAGTCAGATGACACACTGGACACCTCAACTAGATCAGCAACATTGATGGTATCAAGATCATTGTGGAGATGAGTCACTTTTCCTTGCCAAATGATCATCCAGACCATTACCAACTTCAAGCATTGGTTAATACTTCTACTCCCTCACAGCTTACTGATGACACTGTAACCTAAATCTGTGAATAGTCTCAATCAAAAATTTTGGGCTGCTATTAAAAAGCAGCCCAAAATTTCCCTATTCTGGCATAACCACCAAACTCTATTTGGTAGAGTATTGAATAGCTTTGTAGAATTGATGATAGGTGGTGTTAAAGATTCAAAGAACACTTATGTACCCAGTGCTGTAAAATCAAGAATTTCTCCAAATCAAGGCAGCAATATAGAGGAAAAGTGAGAAAATCTGTAACTTCCAGACACAGAGCAAAGGATACTATATTTATTATTTATTTATTTCAAACATTTGTATGCTGTCCTTCACTATCGCATCTCAAGAGGTTTACATGATTAAAAGCAAAACCATAAAACAATTGTTAAAACAGAACAATACAATAAAATTATCAAAACCAGAACAAATAAATCAAAACCAAATATAACAAAACTGACTGTAAAACAGTAAAAATAGTAATTTTTTAAATAATGATTAAATAAAAAGATTTTAACCTGGTGCCAAAAAGAGTATAGACTCGGCGCCAGGCAAACTTCACCGGGGAGCATATTCCATAATCTATACCTTTATGGGAAAAATTTGGAAGGGGATGCCATTTTTGCTATATTCCCAAGTTGTCCAAAATAGATAGTTCCAGTTAAAAATGTTATCTTTCACTTTCTACTTCACATGAACTTTTGCAAGTTATATTATCACCTCTTGGAACTTAGCTAGTTCTTTTGTAGGAAGGCCAAAATCATTAAGCCAACATAGTTATTCAGAAAACTACCACCACCAGTTACAGACAGATCAAAGTTATAGACAGGTCTAAGAACATCTTGACTTAAAGGGAGGGAGGGAAGCTATATTCCAAGTGAGGGGATATGTCTAAGAAATCTTGATTCAACTTACATTGAAACACACATGCATAGAAACATAGAAACAGAGCAAGTCAGAAGGGGTCTCCCAGGCCATCTAGTTTAACCCCCGGCTCCAGCCAGCTCCGCTCACGATATGCCCGCAAGGCCTTTTATATCTTTATCTCTGCATAAAGAATTGTATGAACAATTAGGTGTTGCAGATCTTTACACTGCATACTGGAACTTCTAATATTTTCACCATCACCCCACAACAGCTCTTCCTGCAGCAATTACAAGTTTTGAGGTAGCTTGACTGAACCACATTCACATTGACTGATAAGAGGGATCTTGGAAACACTACCAATTTAATGAGTATCAGTACACACTGTTTCATATTTGGGCCAAAAACCTGTGTAAATTGGCCCAAATAAATTGTGCTTAGATCCCCTGCAGTAAGAACTTCCTTCTTGCCTTTTCCTCCTAAATATCTTCATGATCCAGCATTTT